TTACCGACTCTAGTCGGCACCGTCACGAGTTTGGGAGAACAATCAAACTCTGTGGAGTGAGGAGAAAGTGCTAATGAGGTTCTAGAGTTAGCACTGATATTGGCCCTTTTATACTAATTCCAAACTCTTTCGCTGCAGGATTAAGCGGCGCTTGTCCATCAACTCGTACGTTGGTGACATATTCGATTGTGATTTGGAGGAGTAGAAGTACCCTTTTCTCTGGGAACTTTTGACGATTTACTTTGTCGATGCGAATCATTGAACTGTGAGCTGTACTCATTACATTATTTGCAGCACTGTGCACAGCAAGTTTCGCGCCTCTACCGCGATCCCACTTGGAAGTCTCTTCAGACCGCTGCTGCGTCTACAACACAGCTCTATAAAGTGAGTCACGCAGTTGCAAATTTGGTTTAGCTCTGCTTTTCGTACATTTTTGATGTTGATTTCACCCTAAATTTCAGAGTTCTATCGATGTGCATCGACGTGGATTTGAGAAGGGTTTCCGAGCGGGCCGTATCAGTCTAGCGAAGGTGATTTGTGATTGGCGTAGCGGCTGCTCCTCTATTCTAAATTAGTTGTTAAGGAGGTGATGACTGCTTTGACTAGCGGATCGGCAACTGATTTGAATAGTTTATTCGAAATGCTATATGCAAATGTTCGTATGTCTTCTGCTGACGATGGTCAGCGTATGGGTCCGCCGCCCGTCGTGTCCTCGGACACACTTGCGGCTGTTCATCTTTTTCAGCAGGTTATCTTTGCCTTTGTTTCTTTCGAGGATTTTGTGCGTTTCGACTTCTATTCGCAAGACTTACCAAATGAATCGCGCGAAGCGTTCGGCTGCTGCAGTGAACACAAGAGTTTTTTTTTTGTTTTTGTTTTTTGACAGCTTGAGAAGTGACCCACAGCATGGTTTCTAGTGTATGTCAACTCCTAGGGAACCTAGTAGATCTGCGCTCCAGGATTTCCTAGCAACTGGATAATGCTTTAGGCACTCTCTCCTGCAGCTTCGGCATCGCCACAGAGAGGGCCAGATCTCAATGCTTTTCTATCCTCGCAAGTTCAGCGTCATCGAAAGCGACAGCGTCAGCGTTCGCCTACGTCTCCATCTACGCTCATCAAGAAAGTGCGACGGATATAGGTAGCGTGCTCGTAATTCTTTGTGTCTACCGTTGTTTTGCTGAATGTGGCGATACATAACGTTCATTTTGAAGAGACTGATTTTGTGCATAGATTAGTTACACACCTGCTGCAAAATTTTGTTTTCAGAATCGTTGGCCTTCCATCTTAGGAAATTTGATGTGCTATCGTTGCTGTAAATAACAGTTACTCAAACTCGAGCAAAATTATTCTTCCGCTTTTCTATCTTCCCGTATTAGGGGGGTTTTTCAGGTTTAAACTTCAATGTGGTATTTACTCGTCGAGTTGCCTATATTTTGATTTGCCAGCTCCTTTTCTCTTAATTTTGTCTTCCGTGCGCGCCTTTGCCACGGTAGCCAACCAGGGTGTGGGTACTTAGGACAGAACGCGACTTTTTCGCTCTTCGCAACGCGACATCGCGCGGCAGGCTGGCGCACCCGTAGCGAAAACAACTACGGTATATAAGAACGCGCGATTGGAGCGCGATATTTGTGTCGGCTTTGATTGCGACAAGGAGTTTGAAGCTTAATAGCCATGGATTTGATAATGAACGAGGAAATGGTAACCAGAAGTGGACCGCTAACTAGCAGTGAAGAGGGAGGTAGGTTATTTTTGCAGAGATGGATGGTAGAGCTTCTGGAGAACCTGGAAGAGGAATGGTTGATGGACGTTTGATGAGACGACTGTAAACTTCTGCATAGGGCTTATTTGGGGCCCCGATCATGAATATGACACTCATTTTTCAGATTCGTGCTGTTTAACGCATACTTTCTTCATTTCTAAGCTTTCTCACCTACAGCGCCTACGACTAAGCTTAGGGGAGGAAAAAATTAGGGGGGGGGGGTGAAAACTCGGAGTGGGGGCCGGGGAGGGCGGTCGGGCGGGCGATGATCCATGTAACCACGCGCCGTGTGGCAAAAGTTGGAGTGTGTCAGACCACAGGGGAATGGCCTACCCACTTTGGAGCCCTACACTACTCAAAGGCTTAGTCCTATTGCGATCTAATTAGTGCGAGGGCGCAGACGAGCAGGAAGCAGGCGCCGAATAGCGCTAACAACAAATCAGGACCCCGAATAACCCCTATACAGAAGTTTACAGCGAATTTAGTGGGAATCAGTTGTGGCGCCACCCGGCCCCAAATGGCGCCAGCGTCAAAAATGAGTATCATATCCGTGATGAGGACAGAAGCGTTCCGTAAAAGATGTTATACCCTTATGCAGATGTCTATGCAACAATATGAACCCACAAAATGCAAGCACAAGCGACACTATTAAACCCTCGTTCACCGATAATTCGTAAAACACCATTTGTGTGGCATCGCCCGGAATCGTGTAAGTCACAAAACGTTTTCAATAATGAGACAGAATTAGTGATTCACCGCATTTATCAATACAATGGGTGTGAGCGCGGGCAAGTAAGGAATCAGAAACTTACAAATTCACGCATGCAAAAAAGCTGCTCCAATCGCGCGTTCTTATATACCGTAGTTGTTTTCGCTACGGGTGCGCCAGCCTGCCGCGCGATGTCGCGTTGCGAGAGCGAAAAAGTCGCGTTCTGTCCTAAGTACCCACACCCCCATCACCATCGCAAACTTTTGCTATTATTTATTCGGGTATAGTTGTTTTCTATCCGAATAATGTTGTATTGTAAATGCAGCTGTAACTTAGGGAGCTTTGTAGAAGTCAGTAGAATGTCACGTTTGGTTCGTGAATCGCATTAGTCTTTCTTCCAAGTTCGCCTAGTTCTTTTCTTTCACGTTTGCAGCGCGATGAACAGCGTAAGTCTACTCTTTTATAGTGTAAAGCGCATGCTTTTGCTTTGTCCGAGTAAGCGTTCATTTATTGCCCCTACTTTGATAGTTCTGATTTAAAAGCTGACTTATATGAAAGATATCCAATACTTTGGTTAACGCATAAACCAGTGTTTCACATGTTGTATGTTTTGGCGTGATGGTTTATAAGGTCCTCATACTCTGTTCGTCAATCAAGCTAGCTCAGTGCCTTAAACTAGTTGTCTACGGTTAACCATTGAAGGTTTCGGTTGAGCGTAACTAAAAATGGTTCGTAAACTCAAACTTCATGAGAAGAAACTGTTGAAGAAGACAGATTTTATACAATGGGAAGTCGATCACCAAGGCAAGCAGACGGAGCAAATGAGGAAGTGTGTATGCTTTTCATTTTTATTTGTTAAGAAGTGTTTGTTTCGATTTCGGAACAGTTACATATCTATAAGTAAGATGAGTGCGTGAATAGAAGAAGAACAGAAATGCTTGCTGTCATGAGTAATGGTTAGTTTCACAACTTGTTCAGTCTAAACGGTGTGAATCTTCATGGAGCAGCAGGAACTAACAATGAAGAGGAATATTCAGCACGTGATTGAAACATAGCGAAATGCAGGTTTCTAAATACGGGTATTGCAATCATACGACGGACTGGTTATGGGCAAAACAAAAGGGAATTGTGTTTAGAGCAAATACTATCATGCTAGGTGCTTCGAGGTCGTGATTGAGTATTTTTTTGACCAGAAAGTAGTTTTCGAAAAAAGTCAACCGTCGTTTAGCCCATTCCAAAAATTTGCGCTTATTTTCCCCGACCCTTTCCCTACAAGAAGGTTTGGGAAAATAAAGGTTTATCGAAGAAGAGCGGTTGATCGGTCGCACGCTTCAACCTGCAACTCAGGTAAAATAAGGGTATTTTTGGCAGTTGAGGAAGCCTCGTACTTCGCTTCAAGGGGATGACAAGTTTACAGTTGACTATCCCTATCCCACTTACATTGTTTATGTTGTAGTATTTCGTACTGATGTGTTCAATTGATTGGACAGCTACTGGTGGTAAACAAATTCCTTCATTTTAGTGAAATTTAAAGATGTAGAACAGCAATGCGCATCCTTTTCAAACAAAAACTGTAACAAAGTGGATCCAAGAGTTTCTTTGAAATAATTTGAACAATTGTCTAGGTTATGTCGTTCCATACCCACATTACCAGTACGCTTACACATTTGCCTACACACCCATGCATTTGCAACTTTGGGGCAGGAAAAATTAGCGACCTATCAGCCTTCATATTACGAGCTCGTCGCTTCTCTACCCTTACATATTTCATTGCAGGTATCACATTACTAAGCGGGAACATTATTCATTATACAACAAGCTGGCTGCTGAGGTATGCATAACTTTATATTCTAGTGCAGTATAGTGTTCGTCAGCTGCGTGATGAATACTCGACAGTTATAGGTGCGTTCAATAGCAGAAAAACTAAAGGAGCTTCCAATGAATGAACCGTTTCGTGTCCGATGCGTTCGTGAGATGTTAAGCAAGTTGTATGCTGCTGGTGTGATTCCTACTTCTGATACGGCAGAACGATTAGGAAAAGCAAGTTTTTTTTTTATTTATATGCGCCGCGTACTGCTATATCAAGTACTTAGTAACCACTAGGAGGCGTGGTGAGTCGTGGCGATCACGTGTTGCGCGATCGCTCAGTTAATTGTGGTATGGCACTGCACTCAACATTCCGAATTTATGTGAAAGAAGATGCGCTCTGCGACACGATCTTGCCCAGTTTACTCGTGTGAGTAGTGTGGTGGCGCATCAAGCTGAAATTACCTGCGCATATCTAGATATCGTAGAATCTGTCTACTTTTAATGGAACATCAAGCGGAACTGACTTGGAAAAGAATTCCGTTTTGAAACAAAACCTTCTAGCTTCTGGGTGCAACTCTATTTGTGAGCTTGGGAATCTGGCTGTTGAGAATTAGTGTGCAAAGCTGAGCGCGTGCTAATTCCTCACTGTTATAAGAGTCGATTTTGGCAATTGTTAAAGCCGGAAATGAGGTGTGAAGTCCATAGCTATGCCTCACTTTTGCTTTGCGTGAACCATCCGGAATGAACAATTCTTATTCTTGCGATGGAAGCGGAATTTCTGCTACAGTAAATCCCGGAAAAATAAGCTTCCATATAAACTCATTTTTGGTTCCACTGAGCTCTCATTGCATGTCTTGCCTCAGCAAGGGTTTGCTAAGCTACATGCCATGACCCTCAAAGTGCTAGAGAAGTCGATTAACTTGTTGTGCTATCAGTTCTTCTTCGCGCCGCTGGAGAGAAGCTCACGGGGGTCATCGGAGATGAGCGATTTTCGTAATGATACTCCAGAGCCTTCAGATATGGGGGTTGTTCTGTTCACTTGTATCGTAGGTAGTGGGCACACGCAATGTATCTGGGTAGAAATTTCTTCTCAAATTGGCTAGATAGACAGCAGGCCTATCTTGCCAACGTGCAGCCTACCATCGGTCTTGCATGATTTCACCGTGCAGGATGCACTCCGTGAACACACGCTGCCACAAAAATGTTCTGGTCAGAAGTATTAGTTGCAGAAGGTGGCGTCTGGGTGAGCTATTCTTTCGTGGCATGATGTGATATGTGTTCGTGCCATCAAGCGCTCTATTGGACATGAGGGTCAACTGTCAATTTTTCAAGTTCACCGAAGAAGTGTAGTTTTGGGTGTTGTCGGGAGGGGGAGGGTCTCGGTTTCGTTTTTTCGTCGCATGGGTGAAAATTGTGTGGTCAGTTTTCGCATAAGTGAGAGAAGAAGGGGAATTATTGTGATGGGACTATTGGACGTATTGGATGGAAATTTTAGGAGAAGTTGTGAAATGTCTAGAGTATGCATTTATCGTCTCTTTGGACACTTGGCACTGCACGGTGAGTGGGGAGTACGTTCAAGGAGTGAGGGGGGGTGAGGGGTGGTGAAGGTCGTAGGGATTCTTTGAATCGACACATCGCGGTTGACTACTTCAGGACAAGTTTACTTTTTCAGCAAAGATTTTTAAGGTATCTGCGGCTTGCTTTGCCAGACGTCGTTTGCCGGTGGTGATGAAAAAAATTGGAATGGTAGACAGCATTCGTCAAGCAAGCGACTTTGTAAGTTTCCTACGAACGCAAAAACAACCATCTTGTTTGTCCGAATTTTTCCTTCTGCTTTGGTTACGATGATCAAGTATTATTCTAGGTGGAACAAGGTCATGTTCGTATTATGGCCCAAAGTTGGTTACCGATCCAGCATTTATGGTGACACGGAACCAGGAAGACGCAATCACTTGGACAAATGCCAGCAAGATTAAGCAGCATGTCTTGGACTACAACAATGCACGCGATGATTTCGATTTAGCTTGAGTCAAAGTGGTAGTCGTTTTGTTATGTTTTTGTTGATTTTTTGTTTTATGCAGTGCGCCAGCAGAAGCTCTTGGATTGTTCCAGCGCCATTCAATATCAATAAAAGTAATGGCTTTATAAAACTTTTGTATTTGTAAAATTAAACTGTTTTTGTTTTTATTTTTCGATCTCAATATTTTTATATGTTTTATTCAAAATTTATTTGTAAATATAACAAACAAGTTTGATTTTTTATAAATATAACCAATACAGTTGTAGTATTAGTGTGCATTCTAGAACCCAATCGACACTAGTTCCATTGCTAGATGTAGAAGCCTTGCTTCAGTACTTGAAATTGACCACTGCGTCACAGCTTTCACGGAGAAATCGTCTCTGCGAATTTTGCAAGCGCTTTTGTCCAAGTGTTTCTGCTGCACTTTCATGATGTGCAAATATTGTTTGTTGTTATTTTGTTTTTTTTTTTCGCAGTGATAGTCAACTAATTACAAGCCGCTTATGAATTACGCACTTGAATTTTGAAGACACGAAAATGCTTCTATTTTGAAGTTCAAAAGTGAAGATCTCATAGGTGTTCGTGTTCGGTGTTAAAACGCTTTTTTTGTGCTTCTGACTGCGTCTAATTCTCGAGATAGCAAAAGAATTCTGATAAGATTAACGTTTTATGTTCCCGTATTGATAACGCGCGAAACCACAATAGTCAAAATCATCTTCTTCTTCAACATCTTCTTCTTTAATTTGAGGAAGCTCCTTTTCTGTGTGCTGACAGAGAACTGCAATCGCACGAGAAGGATCATTCGATACATGAGACGCGTATGATAGGCGGTCTTCCAGTGTCTGTAAATATAGATTTCGAAAAAAGAAAGTGGTTGGAGATGACTTCGGCGAAAACCTGTTCTGTATCAGTGATGAAATTGCCATTGAGGGCGATTTCCGCTCCACCGAGGTGCATCAGAAGGGCGACCAGATCGAATAGTGATGCGAGAGTGAGCTGCATCTCTTGTGTACGTTCGCGTACCGTGTTCAACTCATCGATCGCTGCGAACAACTAAAGAAAGCGGCTGAGGTGCGCTATTTTGGTGGGGATTGTAAAAAGCTGACCTGATCGTGAGCTTCACTGTACAGTAAGTCAATGTGATCAAACGTTTCTGGTTTTGGTGTTTCTGGTCTTGCTGAGGATCAGTGCCTCGATTGCTCGCATTTCTCGGGATCGCTCTCCGATCACCTTCTTACCGGCGTCATTTTTCGCCTCCAGCTAAAACGGGCGTAACCACTGCTGTTGCGAGATCATCTTCTAACTATCAATACGCTTACTTCTATGAGCTCTTCCAATTTGGTGTTGATGTAGCTCATTGGAATATTGGCATGAAGTTGAGCATGAGGCTGTTGCAAACGGATACGCTCGACAAGCTCACTGACGACCACATTTAACAACTGTGGATGGTCGGTCTGGACCCGATATCGGTCTGAAAAAAAATGGTTGCCGAAGGTTGTTGTTCCGCGGGTATTGTATGATCTATAGCTGTTATTGATATGAAATGACTCGCGGTGCGAGTAGGTGGACAAAATTTCTATTAGGCCATATGACGGAAGGGACATGATTTGGGATAGAGAATAGCTGACGGTGCGTGTAGCTCATAGATAGCAGATACAGTACCGCGGGAGAAGATACGCTCAAGTATGGAGGTGCCACTCCAGGAAAAAAACGAGAAGATTTATCGTACATATTTAGTTACGCTGCCGTTGCCGGAGCTTGGGTTTCCTCGTCTGTATGGGAGAGGAAAGGAGGGGGGAGGGGGAGAGATAAGAGAAGAGCTCCGGCAGTTGAAGAGCTTGTTTAGGCCGGTGTCAGACTTTGCGAATCGCGCGATTCGCTAGGTCCGCGGTGTCGCGGTGCGTCGTACTAGTCAAAAAATTGGAATAGATTCACTGCCGTGACGGCGACGCAGACGCTTAGCGCTATTCGGCGGTTCGCCAAAGTCTGACATCCGCCTTGGCAGCGCCTTATCACGCAGATGCGCCACCGTATTTGTCTCGGCTTTGAGCAGATCTCCTACAGCAATTGACTGTGCAATCTTTTTCCCATCTGCCCCACGGGATTATATCGCGACCACTGTCCTCCAATTACTTCAATGACCACATCAAAAATGTTGTATTTGGTGGGGATTTTTCGAAAATTTAAAAAAAATGTCCAACTGGATTTGTGCGCAGCGAAAACCGAGACAGTAGCATCGTGTCCATGAACCCGAAAACCAATTGATGACGGGTTTTCCGTTTGAAATTCTGAAAATATAGCTGTTACAATGGATGTAACTACACCAATGTATTAGGTCTGCTGACCGGTGAAGAGTGTGTTGAGTGCCAGACAAGGTTGGTCCGAGTCTAGAGTGAGTTTGTAAGAAGCATTCCGTTCTGGGGACGTCTCGGCGAACATCATGGCAAATGGAAGGCGAACTGAGGCAAACGCTGTTGCTGAAAAGATATGATCATTTGGTATGGAACGGCGCAATGGGTGGGTGCTACGTAGTTGAGGGGGGTCACGCGCGGCGCGCGCGGCGCTCTGTCGTTTGCGCTCCGAAGGCCCTTTAGTCCGCGCTTCCACTGTACTTGCCGAAAATGCCTGTCGGCTGCTATGGTAAAGGCCTTCTCAGGACTAAGCCTTAGGAGTGCGCAGACGAGCAGACGCCGCGCCACCGTGTTGCTCCCCTCAATCTAGGTTTGCACCGAGAAGTGTTATATGATACCTTGTGTTCCTGAGCAGTGGGCGGCCAAATGTACGGTAGTCGAAATAGGAAGACGATCACCGACGAAGAATGGTATTTTCAACGACGTGGTTTCACCTGAAGGCTACATAGTTCAGGCCAGTTCGCCTTCCTGTTGAGATCCATTTTGATGGCAATCATGATCAAGGAACTATCTCAAAAGAGGCCGATTTAGCCTCCAACTTGCCAGTATAAGGTGATCCTAAATCGCCCCTTGACACTTCCAAATCAAACAATTGCACAACCTATGTTTTAGGCCAGTATTCTTCGGAGGCATACCTGTTTGTGAAAATTGGGTGCAAAACAAAAGTACCTGCGTCGATTCTATCCGAGATTAAATTGCCTGGCTGGAGTGTGCAGTGCTAGTTCGAAGGTTATCTAAAAGTTACAAGTATCAGAAAGTGAACAGAGTGCCTGTAGAGAATCACTACAATGACATTATTAGGGATAGCGAGAAGTGAGCTTGCAATGCCTAGCGAAATGCTCATAACCCGATCTGAAGTTATAAACGACCAGTTGGTGCCGCGCACAACACAGTTCTGCTCACGGAACAAGTGCGGCTAAAATTTTCCAAATATAGCACGATACCCAAGAAGATCTGACTTAACCTCCTTAGCGATTCTATCTATTCTCGGTCCCCGTGCTATCTTTGGATCACATCGTGACTCCGGGTTTTAGCTCGCCCACCACGTTGCTTTGAACTGTAGGTTGGTATAAGTGGCTACTATTATTAGTATCAAGTAATCAAGTTATAAGTTTGGCGACAAACTCCGCCCCTTTTGGTGCATGCCCAGCCCATCGATAGCAGTTTGCAATCTTCCCTTCCCCGACCCCTACCCACTTCTCCCCGGTCTTCGCGTATCTTCTTGGTACCGAGTTATAAGTTCGGTAGCAAACCCTATTACTTTGGTGCACGTCAAGCCCACAATTAAAACTTGAGCTGCCCTCTTTCTCGGATTTGGAATTTCCTTGTCGCGCTTTCTAAAGACTTCTCAGGGACCACGGAGGAGGGGGGTTCTAGATTCCGGTCTGGCTTATCGAGTCACACCTTTACCTATTTTTCCTCCAGTCTCGAGGCTGTTTTGTAATTTTGAAATTTGAAATCTCGGTCGTCAATACAGCTCATTCCGATGCACGCCACGCCCACTGTGGGCAGGGCTCCGCTTAGCTGATGTATATTTTGTACTTCTGTAGAAATGGCCCACTTCATCCCACCATTTGACCCTTCAGGCGGATCTGCAGGAAGCAGAAAATCTAGTGACAGACAGTGACAGAACGATGGACGATCAATCGTTCATATAAGGCCGATGTCAGACTTTGCGAATCGCGCGATTCGCTACTAGCGATTCGCGCGATTCGCTAGCGCCCGCGGTCGCGTTGCGGTACCAGCCAATTGAGTGATTCACTGGCCGCGACGCGACCGCAGACGCTAGCGAATCGCGCGATTCGAAAAAACCTAACAAACTCGCAAGTCTGGCATCGGACATAGTAAGGAATACACTCTTTTTACATCGGAACTCAAACCCGAAACTTTTGCTTTCCGTGCAGATGTGCTATTCTTACATTCTCAGGACCATACCGTCTATGGAATACCTTTAAAAATGTTCATTGCCAAGAAGGTTAGCAACTCACTCTTATACTGCTGGCGGACTCTGCTCCTTGAAAGGATACCATCAGTGGACAGGCTGGAGCTCCACTTCTCGAATCGTAACCCATCTTAAAAAAGTCTAGTTAAAATGGGAGCCATGATCAGACACTCCCTTAATCTAAAAATGATCAATTTTCAAGCAATCAGTTCCATGTTGAAATATTCCTCAAGGTAATGGCTCCATCAAGCTCATTTTTTTCAGTGAACGTAAGCGGTTTGCTGAGAAAAACGAGTTCGGAAGGACTCTCCTAGAGAGATTTGAGAATCGCAGCGCTAATCCAGGGGTGTTATTTGTTATTGCCTTTGAATTTTTTTACTTTCTCGCAGTGCGTTGGCAGGTTTCACAGCATATTTTGATGCGTCCCAACATTATTACTGTACAAACACGGCACTCTGGTGATTATTGATACCAAAATAGTGCGTTGTTTCAGCCTGTGCCCTTGAATGCAGCTCCAAACTGCCCAACTTCAGACACCATTGAATTCCTCCTCTTATTTTGCACTTGTTTTCCCGGAATCTGGGCCTTTTCGCGATCAAATCATGAGGTCTGTAGAAAACTCCGCCCACTTATGTACACGCCCCTCCCTCTACTCATTTCGAGTCTGCCTTGAAACCTCAAACAATTGCTTCATCTGGGGCCAGTGCCTTGGCGCGACCCGCCTCTTACTGGAGTACTCTGGCTATGAATTGATGTTGAGAGTTCGCCGTCTATGGCGACAGAGAACAGAGGTCAGAGCAGCGCGTCTACGTCGATGAGGTGATCTATCGCTGAAGTGCCAACCGTTCGTATAACTTCGTATGGGAGTGGCCATTCGCTGTTTGCGGAAGAACCCGTCGTTGTGGCCGCCCATCGCAATGGGGGTCGCACTTTAGTAGGTTGAGGAAGGTCGTGAAAAGGGGGCTGTATTTTGAGGTGTTTGAGAGTGGGCGGGAGTCGGCTGTGTCGGCTGGTCTCAGAATCGAGTACTATAGAAACAGCGTGAAGGCGAGGGTGACGATAGGGTGAGAGGAGAGGTCGTATTGGGGGAGCCTCCCGAACTGATGATGGTGAGGTGGAGGATCGCATACCTGGAATCCCTTGAAAGACGGCGAGGGTTCGCAAAATATTCTGAGAAAACTTTCGAACGGCGACGATTGACCCATAGCGAATCTCGAACTCAGAATCTCGCCAGCAGAGCGGAAAATCAACTCGGACGGTAGGTCTCATTTCGCGGTTTCTCTTGAACTGTGCACCCTCTACCACTTCTACTTTCATCCCCAACGGACCATCTGCCTTGATCTGTAAACACTAATTGGAAGACACATGAATGAACTAACCGCTGCTTTCTCAGTTCACCAGGAACAGCCTTCATTAGAAATATAGTTTTGTTTTCTGTTCCTGAAATTTACCGCGTAAATGTATTCGTGGCAAATTTTAAGGCAATAAAAAACTGCTTTAAGCCTCAGCCCACTGAGCCTCCGATAGGCTCAAAGCACTTACCTATCGTACCCGTATCCTTGATTGAGGCCTCAATTGCACGCATCTCTTGAATTTTTGCTTTGAAGTCAATGAAACGATTGTCAACCGGAACCTTAATTGAGCCTCTTGACAAAGCGCACGGTTTTAGAGATTCAGATCTGTTTCTCAACCTTGTTATAAATTGGTGCTCAGTTGGTCCAGATCAGCCTATAGAACTCCGAGCCAGTGACAGAAAGCATTGAGCAGCAGCGGTCTGATAGATGCGAAACGGGAATTGTTACAAGGAGTAAATTAAGACTTGAAACACTTAACCCCGCCTTCCTTCCTTCCCCATATCTTCCTCCCCGCCCTCTCCGATTTCGACGACCGTTTTCAGAAGAAAAGAAAGCAGTTCGTCGAATGCTTTTAGAATTCCATGGTTTTCTTAGTGTGGAGCAATTCTTTCACTCGGATTTGAGGCAACTGAAGTTCTGTGATTGTTGTACCTGTAACTGCTGAGCTTGATAGCCACAACTGTATCCTCTGTTTGGCTGTTCCACAACAATTTGTTGTCCATGAACACCAGCAAAGAGTTCGAACTCGTGGTCACACAAAGACGGATCGACGGTGTTTCTTCTGCAAAGATATCTTATATGTAAGATGTTATTCAAAGTTGAAGATGCTTGAATTGACTAGGCGATGAAGGCCTAGAAGGAAGTGACAGCGTGTCATGTGTACTCAAAAGGGGGAGGAGAGAGGTAATATAGTGGGGCACTTTCAATAAGATACGCGGACAACAGCTGTCGGACCATTCTCGTAACCGAAATATTCAGCCAGTGCATGTGTATGTCCATTATGTGATTGAAAGTACGAAAACTCGCATCACTTCCACAGCACCGCTTTCAAACTCAGGGTGAAAATCGGTTGGAGTCGTCGACGATTTTTGCCTGTTCTGCCTCTCCTCCGCGCACATTCACTCGTCGCCAGGCGCGAGCCGACTGTGCTCTCCGCGCGTACATTCACTCTCAACACTATTCTCACGCAGTACAGTGCCACAGTCGAGTGTCCTCGACTGTTATTCACTTTGTTTGAGGCCATAGATTGTAGTGAATATACGCAGAAGTTAAATGGCGATTATTGGATAAATCGGTAGCGCATTGGGAAAGCATTGTGCGCCACATAAAGCAGTTAGCATGTCAAGGAAAAAAAGATAATAAAAAAAAAAACGGAAGTGAGGGTGTGGCGCTTTTCACAGACGGAAGGTGCGCTGGTTGCTGAGCAAGGCTTCGAAAGCGCTCAGCCCCCAAAAGCGATCCGCCCACTAGTTTAGTTGGTGATTTGGACGAGCTGTGCTGCCAGCAATGGCACAAGTGGAGCAACTCGAATGTAGTGTAGTTTGGCATGGTTCCTATCAAGCGCTTGTGTGACATGAACTCCTTATAACGTGCCGATTCTGAGCTATACGATTTGAATAAATGGAAGCCAGAAAAAAGAGGGTCTCCTTTTTGCGTCCATTGACATGATTTCTCTGCTTTATTTTCGCCAACGGCGGTACCACGTGAGAATCATCTACATGCTCTCTGACTCATCCCACCAACGTATCGTGAATCGCCGCCTAATAAGCATTGTTAACGATAAACGGCATTATGAATAGATCATGGCCAGAATACGCCCATTGCCACGAAGGTAACCAATCACGAGAATTTGGAGTGGCCGGGCGGGCTGACATCAGGGTAAGCGTCGCCCACAAAAAATTCACTGTAGAATTGGTATACTTGATGGCAATGCAATCCTCGCGATTTTTATAAGGAGCAGTTGCAGGATTTCTTTGCTGCCTACCAAACTACAATTGCCTGTCATTGTCGACTAGGCGCCGAGCTTGGTGACTGATGTAATTTTTTACGTGTGTGGGAAAGACACACTCCACTGGTGTGGGTCTCTAGGACAAAGCGTGGCTTTTCGTCTCCAATACTTACGACGAAACCTACGTTTTGAAATTTCACGCAAAAGAATAGCGGAACGCTAGGACAAAGCGCGGCTTTTTTTCTTTCGCAGCGCCATACTTTTTTCGCTGCAGGAACCCCAGGTCCACTTATGATCAGAAGTGGACCTGAGGTTCCCGCAGCGAAAAAAGTTTCCGCGCTGCGAACGACAAGAAAGTCGCGTTGTGTCCTAGCAAACCACACCCCACTTCCACATTGAGGCTAGCTCTCTATTCCACCACCATTCAAACATATACAGCCTTTCAGTGCTTAAATAGGTAATCTTATTGCAAAATGGGAGCATATTTTTTACCCTGCGAAGGATTATTACGGTCGTTATCGTTGAAGAAAATTATGTTCACACAACTCATGACATTCACCACTTTTGAACCATCTGGCGAACGCTCTTGAAGCTCCAGGCTTTTTGGAAAATTCCAGGCTAGAAGTGTGATAAGTGACTAAGCGTACCAGTCATTATTTCGAAATTATAGTTGAACTGATGATTAAATACAAGAGAATGGATGACGCAAACTCAACCGCTGCACTGCAATAACTGATTATTTTAGGGAAAAAAGTTGAACTGCAAAGGTTATTGGGGACTACTAAACAAAGGAAACAGAAACCATACCCCGGGATTAACGTTCCATTTGGGTATCAGAGATGACATAGTTAGGTGGTATTCTTCAGGCAGATAGTACCTTGTGTTGCTCATGCGTATTGATCGGGCCTACTCTTTTGTGAGTCGATAAAAAGGAAAGAAAACGATGTAACGTTTTCTTTTTCAGCCGAGTTAGACAAACTAGTGCCCATACTTAACCCAGGTGGAAAAGCCAATTTCAAAAGTTCCAAGGAAGCGTCAAACTGGTACACATTCACAAGGGAAACGTAGTGGCCACCCATTTAAGCCCTTAACCCTAGAAGTGCGGAAAGCCCGCAACTCCTCGGCGCACCCCTAGATCGACTGATTGATTGCGAGAATCGCCACGGGGCCCATTCGAGCGCCTGAAGTCACGTTGAGGTGTACGACAACAATCGATCCCATGGAGGTTGTTCAAGGACTTGAAGGAGGTGGATGCTCTGCGAGCAGACCAGAGGGTACGGGTCAGATGAGGACCAACAGGGGCCAAATTGGGCCAGACAGGCGCAGGCAGCACCGAGACGGCACTCACGCGGCGCAAACAGATACTCACAACGACGATTCCTACCCCATTCGATGGCTGGCGACCTGCCAGGCGCTAAACCCAGAGCGTCCACTGGCTGCTCGTCGCGCGCTTTGTTTTCTATTTGCGATTTTTCTAAAAAATGTTCGGTGGGGGTGATTACTTTTCATATACTGTGCTTTGACCATGCTTTCCTGTGCTCATTTTACAGTCCTTGATCCCTTTTTGTTGCCCAGTTTTTGTTATTTGGCTCTCTAACGTGTCAATTAGTTACTTCAATGATCGGGGATTATTTTCCGTAATGATAAGTAAGCAATGAACTGTATTTTCCCTCACATCTCTCCCTCAGAGCCCCTCTCTCCCTCCCCTTCAAATAGTAACTCCTCACTTCAGCGTTCGTTATTTCTCTCAGGGTGGCTATTCAAAATCTGCGTCATCCAATCTTTGAGGCGCTCCTTTCCGATGTTCGTAACGAGCTCGAGTAAGCTCCTATTTCCCATTTGGTTTAGAGAAGTAGCTGCGATTACTTCACAACCTTCAGGAGAAGCCAAAATTAGGTTTTCTTGCACAGCTGGCGCCTCATGTAGAGCCTCCTTAACCGGATGTATTCTATTTCCGTTGCCGAATATTTGTTTTCCAAAGCATATTCACTGCTTTCGTCAATAACCGAAAACGTCTTTACGCGGACATCTTAACGAGGCGTGACGAGAAGCGCTTGGACAGGTTTTTAGTTGTGCCTGCCACGAATCAGACGCACGCGTTAATCCAAGACCACGTGCTCACCGTAATTCTTATTCTTTTGATGACGCATACTCAATAATACAATTGGCAATGCAGTTGCTAGTTTTTGTTTTGCGGCGAGTAGTATATTTTATGGACTTCTCAAAATCTGTGCCAATAACGATGAGTATGGATAGTCTGGGGTGATGGCTCAGTTAAGTCTTGCTATTTACAGTCTCTTTGTGGTGTGGTGTGCCTTTTGTGTCAACCTTTAGTTCACCCTGATTCATAATGATCACATGCTTTTGTCATTGGAAAAGGTACACTCATTTCATTTTCTCATAAGCTCTTGAAAACTTCGAATATATCTTCTCGCTGAGGCCTTTTATCCGATTGTTTCCCCATTATCATTGCTGATTTTACTTTGATATTGATTCGCTTGACTGCGATCTGATGCGGTGCCCATTCATTTAATTCATCTTAGAATATTGAAACGGCTGCTATTTCAGCAACTAAATTTTCAGGTGAATTGGTTTTTTCACCCTATTTTCTTCCACACAGGCGACCCCATTTTTCCGAAGCGTACAAAGCATGCGAATACCTACAGAAAGTTGAAATCTTAAATTGGAGTGAATATCATGAAGGTTCCTGTGATACTTTCGCAACATCAAGATATCAAGTCGCTACTGAAGCAGGTACGCCTTCCAATCTCCAAGGTTATTTTTCAAAACAGTTTTGGGTGCTGCTGCAATAAAAGTAATAGCGAAAGGATTAGATGGGTAGTTTTGGATGCTTTTTATCTCTTTATTTACTCTCAATAAAACTTTTTGCGCTATCTTGATATGGGGGCACATCACGATATTGAACGGCCAACGCGTTCTGACGTTTGCATCCTGCTCACCGAGTCCTTAAAAGTTGTGGGTGTTCATGTCCTTTGGGGGGGGGGGGGGGGGGACATTCAAAACAGGCATTCAAAAACCGCTGGTAGGTGACACTAGGACTAAGCCCAGGATTGGGAATAAACACCAGGGAGAACAATGGTTGCTCACATCCTTTCAGAATCCTTTCCCCTCCCTAAAGCTTAGTCCCGAGTTCTATGAGTGGCCCACTCACTTCAATGTCTAAGGACGTGAGCGCCTAGTTGTGAAATACGGTGAATCTGCGAACTTGAGCAAAAGGCACACGTTTAAACCGCGGATCTCCGCTCCCATAGTGCAATAACATTGTTTCTTGTTTTGATCTTGTTCTTCTTGTTTTCGCATTTTTAATAGAGCGAACTGACTGTTTTCAGATAAATACAAAAGACAAGGTTTCGAAAGACGTTCGTATTCAAGCTTGTCATGAGCTTTACCGAGGTCTTACGTGTTCTGATTATGACATCAACGTGAGGCTTTAGAGTACACATACTTTATAATCTAGTTTAATTGTTGGCGTTTAAGGACATCAAAAATGACAAGAAAGATATACTTGGTGAGTTAGCTGCAGTTATTCATCCGAAATATGGCAGTTTGGAGGTGAAGAAATGGTGTGGACGCATTGCCGGCATGATAGGAGCGAGCCTGGCAGATGAATTTGACGAGTGAGTTCACACACCCGCACATGTTTTTCGTACAGAAGAGAAGAGAAGGAAACCTAAGTGGCATTGATGGTCAATGTGTTGCAACCTAAAGGTGCCAACCAAAACTTGCTGTATCACTGAAAACAAGGCTAAAATTGGTAAAC